CCTTACTACCTTTCTGGGCCTTGAATGTGTCAGTTGCATTGTTGTCTATCTTAATTTGTGGTCTGAAGATGAACAAAGGTCTTACAGGTTTGGAACGACATGAGGGTGAGTAATTAATGACATAATTTTCATTTTTGGGTGAACTATCCCTTTAAGGATGTGATTTAAGCTCTCAGAGCAAGCACACATTTGTTTGAAGTTTCCAGGAGCCAGTTGGTGAAGTTTGTCCAGTTTTTTCTTTTCTTTTTTAACAAATGGTCAGTGTTAGTGCTTAACCTTCAGAAAATGTCAACCTTAGCAGGTCAAAATCAATATTATATGTTGGCATGTGTTTTCTATGCAACCCTGCAAATTACTAGTGAAATTTTAGTGAAACTTGTTTGTTTTTTTTCAGTGTGGGATACTTTTAAATATTACTCTGTTAAATTTACTCATTGTGAAATATGTGTGGGAAATACTCACTTGAAATACCTGATTGTGTGGATTCCTAACAAAAATTCAGAATTTTGCCCACAAAAATTTTAATAAATGTGTCCAACCTATAGGATAGTGAATTATAGGGCCTATTAGTTCGTTTATTTTATATAATTATTATTATGTTTTTACTTATTTAAACAATTCTTCTTTTAATAACAAGACACTCGTGCTAAAAGTTTCATAGAAAATGTGGGATACTGTTAAATATTATGTGTTTGTTAAATAAAATATTAACAGAAAAATAACACTTGTAAAATATAAGTGTCATATATTATATTATATTATATATTGATAAAATTGTAAATATATCAAAATTGTGTCATTGTGTAATTGTTTGATGCAGCTGAGAAGACCTTAGATATGAAACAGACCATAATCTCCATTTGGGGACAGGAATGCCAACATATTTCATTTCATTTCACACGGTGTTCATATTATTTTAGATACCAGTTTGTCAAATGTGCAATTTTTCTCACTCTCAAATAAAACTGTTCCTTAAATAAAAAGGGAAGTGCTGTTCATTTTCTGAGTGAGGAACTAATACTGTACATGAAGTGCTGACACATATTTCTTGTTACTGGCAGCATTAGTGTGCCAGTAAGGAGTTACTTACTTCAGTTTTCTTGTCGGCCTTCTGAATGGTGTATCCAGTGATCTCAGTGTTGCCGTTGTCTTTGGGAGCGGTCCATTCCAGAGCTGCATTGAAGCCCCAAGAATCCACTAGCTTGACAGAAGCAGGAGGACCGGGCAGATCTACAAACAGATGGCCGAGCATTAAAAATTATTTAGCTTTCTTAGTATGGATCATTTTACACTGTGAGGTCTTACTCGGTAAACAGAGGTGTCAAGGTATGAACTAAGAATGAAAATGCAAGTAGGACACGGTCCGAGAAGAGCGCTGAAACGAACGGTCTCTAGATCATAGCGCGTCTCACCGACAATCTGAATTATGAGGTCAGCCTTGTCCTCGAAGCTGTCGACCTTCATGGTCATCTCATAGCTGCCGGAGTCTTCTCTCTCAGACTTGCGGATGAACAGGATGCTATCCTTGTCGCTGTTGCGGATGTTCACCTTCTTTGTATCCAAAGGCTGGCCATCCTTGGTCCATGATATAACAGGTTTAGGTTTGCCCTACAAAACAGAGAATTATGAAACACATTAGAGCCTGCAGTGAAAGTACAGCTGTGTTTGCCATAGAAAAATCTGAACTTACGATGAACGGGATGACAAGATTGATCTGTTCTCCAACATGCTTGACGCATCTTGATCTCAGGGCACGGGGCAGGCGGATCTTGGGCCGATCTAGGGAAAAAAACAAAAACAAAAACACACAAGAGCAATTTTAGATGCACAAATTGCATGTTTATTTCGATGATCATTATTTAGATTTAGATTATGGTCTTATTTTGAAATGCATAAACTGTTAAATAACACAAACTTTTAAAATGAACACTTTTCCTCAACTTTGAAATGCCACAACTTTAGGTTAATTCTAAATTGCTCACAGAATGTGCATATTATAAAACATATGTTTAGCAAAACATTTTTAATGTGTAGGGTTGATATATTTAACATACATACATACATAAAAAAAACATTTTTTTCCTGAACAAGAAAAAAAGAAAAAGTGATGCTCGTCCATGCATTACTCACTGCCACAATGTTAAGCTCAAAGTATACTTCGGTTTTATGTGTACGTTTGCATGTTGTAAATGTAATTATTAGCATAATATGTGAATTGTCTTGTTCTAATTGTCTCATCTTGTTTGCAGGGTCTAAAAAGAAATGGATGCAATGGAAAAACGCCAACTAAATGCAACAACAAAATATACTTGTGTTGATGAGTGCTTGTGTGAGGCGGTTAAGAGATAAGAGAAGTGTGAATACATTTTTATTGTTAATACCCTCCGGACAGAAATAGTGAAGATACTGGATAAAAATAAAACTTTCTAGCATGTGTGAACCGCCTGTGTTTGAGCACACTATCAGCACTCTTAAAAATAAAGCTTCTTTACTGGCAGCTATGGTTTCATGAAGACCTTTTAATATCCATGGAACCGTTAGATTATTCAAATGTTCTTCACACTAAGACAAAAAAAAGATTCTTTTAAAAGCCATTCACTGAAAGGTTCTTTGGTATAGCTGAGAAAAACCCCTTTTGGAACCTTAATTTTTAAGAGTGAAATAGAAATGACATACTTCAGTAGGCCATACCATGGAGTCAGTGTTTTAAAAAAAAAAAAAATTTTATGGGTTTTTTGTTAAATGCCTGAAATAAGTTTTGCATTTAACACAAGCTGCAGATATTTTCACATTTTTTTGTGACATGAAAGTCAAGATTAATACCCCACTGTGATTTTTTTCAACGTTTTTTGTTTTTGTTTTGAAAAAACGATTTCTAACAAGTGTCTAAATCTACTCACTAGTTCGCTTTTACTGCCTCATTTTGATTATAATTACACTTTTGCAAACTATTCCAATTCAAACTTTGAGGAATTTTTATTGTTGTTGTTAATAAAGACTGAAAGTTATCAGAAGTTTAATGTTGGTGACAGTGAAGTCATGTGAATGCGGTGTTTGTTTATAGCCTATATGTTAGCTTTTTAGGTCTAAAGTTTTTTAAAATTCATAATAGTCCAGGTGATATGTGCAAAATTTTAGGTGATATGTTCACTTTTTCATAAAAGCATGAAACTTGGTACAATTGTACAGGTTAGGGCCCTGAACATTTTCATGTTTGTTAAATAAAATATTAACAGAAAAATAACACTTGTAAAATATAAGTGTCATATATTATATTATATATTGATAAAATTGTAAATATATCAAAATTGTGTCATTGTGTAATTGTTTGATGCAGCTGAGAAGACCTTAGATATGAAACAGACCATAATCTCCATTTGGGGACAGGAATGCCAACATATTTCATTTCATTTCACACGGTGTTCATATTATTTTAGATACCAGTTTGTCAAATGTGCAATTTTTCTCACTCTCAAATAAAACTGTTCCTTAAATAAAAAGGGAAGTGCTGTTCATTTTCTGAGTGAGGAACTAATACTGTACATGAAGTGCTGACACATATTTCTTGTTACTGGCAGCATTAGTGTGCCAGTAAGGAGTTACTTACTTCAGTTTTCTTGTCGGCCTTCTGAATGGTGTATCCAGTGATCTCAGTGTTGCCGTTGTCTTTGGGAGCGGTCCATTCCAGAGCTGCATTGAAGCCCCAAGAATCCACTAGCTTGACAGAAGCAGGAGGACCGGGCAGATCTACAAACAGATGGCCGAGCATTAAAAATTATTTAGCTTTCTTAGTATGGATCATTTTACACTGTGAGGTCTTACTCGGTAAACAGAGGTGTCAAGGTATGAACTAAGAATGAAAATGCAAGTAGGACACGGTCCGAGAAGAGCGCTGAAACGAACGGTCTCTAGATCATAGCGCGTCTCACCGACAATCTGAATTATGAGGTCAGCCTTGTCCTCGAAGCTGTCGACCTTCATGGTCATCTCATAGCTGCCGGAGTCTTCTCTCTCAGACTTGCGGATGAACAGGATGCTATCCTTGTCGCTGTTGCGGATGTTCACCTTCTTTGTATCCAAAGGCTGGCCATCCTTGGTCCATGATATAACAGGTTTAGGTTTGCCCTACAAAACAGAGAATTATGAAACACATTAGAGCCTGCAGTGAAAGTACAGCTGTGTTTGCCATAGAAAAATCTGAACTTACGATGAACGGGATGACAAGATTGATCTGTTCTCCAACATGCTTGACGCATCTTGATCTCAGGGCACGGGGCAGGCGGATCTTGGGCCGATCTAGGGAAAAAAACAAAAACAAAAACACACAAGAGCAATTTTAGATGCACAAATTGCATGTTTATTTCGATGATCATTATTTAGATTTAGATTATGGTCTTATTTTGAAATGCATAAACTGTTAAATAACACAAACTTTTAAAATGAACACTTTTCCTCAACTTTGAAATGCCACAACTTTAGGTTAATTCTAAATTGCTCACAGAATGTGCATATTATAAAACATATGTTTAGCAAAACATTTTTAATGTGTAGGGTTGATATATTTAACATACATACATACATAAAAAAAACATTTTTTTCCTGAACAAGAAAAAAAGAAAAAGTGATGCTCGTCCATGCATTACTCACTGCCACAATGTTAAGCTCAAAGTATACTTCGGTTTTATGTGTACGTTTGCATGTTGTAAATGTAATTATTAGCATAATATGTGAATTGTCTTGTTCTAATTGTCTCATCTTGTTTGCAGGGTCTAAAAAGAAATGGATGCAATGGAAAAACGCCAACTAAATGCAACAACAAAATATACTTGTGTTGATGAGTGCTTGTGTGAGGCGGTTAAGAGATAAGAGAAGTGTGAATACATTTTTATTGTTAATACCCTCCGGACAGAAATAGTGAAGATACTGGATAAAAATAAAACTTTCTAGCATGTGTGAACCGCCTGTGTTTGAGCACACTATCAGCACTCTTAAAAATAAAGCTTCTTTACTGGCAGCTATGGTTTCATGAAGACCTTTTAATATCCATGGAACCGTTAGATTATTCAAATGTTCTTCACACTAAGACAAAAAAAAGATTCTTTTAAAAGCCATTCACTGAAAGGTTCTTTGGTATAGCTGAGAAAAACCCCTTTTGGAACCTTAATTTTTAAGAGTGAAATAGAAATGACATACTTCAGTAGGCCATACCATGGAGTCAGTGTTTTAAAAAAAAAAAAAATTTTATGGGTTTTTTGTTAAATGCCTGAAATAAGTTTTGCATTTAACACAAGCTGCAGATATTTTCACATTTTTTTGTGACATGAAAGTCAAGATTAATACCCCACTGTGATTTTTTTCAACGTTTTTTGTTTTTGTTTTGAAAAAACGATTTCTAACAAGTGTCTAAATCTACTCACTAGTTCGCTTTTACTGCCTCATTTTGATTATAATTACACTTTTGCAAACTATTCCAATTCAAACTTTGAGGAATTTTTATTGTTGTTGTTAATAAAGACTGAAAGTTATCAGAAGTTTAATGTTGGTGACAGTGAAGTCATGTGAATGCGGTGTTTGTTTATAGCCTATATGTTAGCTTTTTAGGTCTAAAGTTTTTTAAAATTCATAATAGTCCAGGTGATATGTGCAAAATTTTAGGTGATATGTTCACTTTTTCATAAAAGCATGAAACTTGGTACAATTGTACAGGTTAGGGCCCTGAACATTTTCATAAATGGAGCTATCGCAAAAACACCTTGTGGTTGCCATGGTGACCATTTTACTTTCCGCCATAACCAAATTAATTAATTTCAATACTACAATAAAAGATAGTTTTAATTAATTAATTATTAATTTGTTACATTTTTGTAGCACTTTTCTGGGTACTCAAAGTGCTTTACATAGAAATCTCCTAAACCACCACCAATGTGCCGCATCACCAATGTACTAGATTTCTCTAATACAAAAAAATGAAGTAGGCTTGACCAAAATTTTTGTGGGGAGAATAATTTATTGAAGATGGTAGTGTAGCAGTTCTTCAATAGCAATGTTTTGCATGTCTTTCTTCAAACAGTCTTAAACCTTGTATGAATCCTAGCTTCTCCCAAAGTTCTGTCTGTGGGATATATTTTTATACCTAAAGATACAAAAGGGCTAGAAACAACAGATACTGTTAGGGCCTTCCCGCTGGAGATCCTGCAATCTACAAGACGTTCCTGAGGAATGCTGTTCCTTTGTTATTCCAATGGAATGGACCATTTGGTTCACACCTTTATAGACACAGTTACATTATTTCTTTCACAAAATGACCAACTGAACGTTAACCAATCAGGTTTCAGCAGCGGCCATTCAACTGAGACTGCTTTACTGTCGGTCAGTATAGCCCTGCAGATTGCGAAAGCTGATTCCAAATCATCAGTTCTTATTCTGCTGGATCTATATGCCACTTTTGACACTGAACCATCAGATTCTCCTGTCCTTTTACCGTTAAATTCACGGTCATTTTTTACAGTGTAGGCTGGACTATTGCAATACTCTTCTGGCTGGACTTCCATCATGCGCAATCAAACCTCAACAAATGATTCCGAATGCAGCAGCACGACTGGTCTTCCATGAGCCCAAAAGGGCCCACTTAACACCTCTCTTTATCTCCCTGCACTGGCTACCGGTTGCGGCTCGCATCAAGTTCAAGACATTGATAATTGTGAATAGATTAAATACAGAAAGCAAGCAAAGAGCCCTCTCTTTAATATAATCACTACAGCTGTCAATCAGTGGCAGCGCGATCGGCTACATTGCTCAATGTGTACTGGACCGAGTTGAAATAGTCTTGGTTATTGGACTCGCAACCCGCCCGTGCTTGTCACCGTCCAGCCCGCACCCGCACCACACCCTACACATAAATATTATTCCACCCATTACATCAAATATTAGCGATTCACCTGCGTGTACCCGCCAGCGTTCAAGACTTTGGCTTCCCCCTTGTGGACAACATAATAGACAACTCTGGCCCCAGAGAGTGATTGTAAATTAAGTTTACATGAAATATATCTGAAATTTCTTTCTGCATCTTCTGAGATTTCATTGTAATCCTTCTCATAAAGTCACTGTTCACCTGATTGCATTGCTGTCTGCGTGTGATGTTAGAGCATTGTTGAGAGAGAACAAGAATATACTGGAAACATACTACCGCCTACCTGACTCTGCCTGAAAGGTAAGGAAAAATACACTTACCTGAGATGATTTTTTTATATGATAGTATTCTTGAAAACAATCTTTTAATGTGTTATTGAATAAAATATTAGTTAATTATCAAAGAAAGAAAAAAAATAATAGCCATAATATGGACTATTGTAAATGCTGTGATACTGTGATACTCAGATACTGTGATTTCCTTCTCACATTGCTGATTTCACCATTACCTCTTCACCTGAACAGTTTATGTTGCTGTATATGGTATCATTGTAATCATTGACCATTGAAACATAGGGGTAGACATAACAATTTCTGTGCTATCATGCTTGGTTCAGGAGATATGACACAAAATACATAATTTGGTTATGGCGGAAAGTAAAATGGTCGCCATGGCAACCACGAGGAGTTTTTGCGATGGCTACATTTCTGAAAACGGTTAGGGCCGCAAACTGTACAAGTGTACCAAGTTTCATGCTTTTATGAAAAAGTGAACATTATTTTCACATATCACCCGGACTATAGCTTTTGTTCATTTAACATTATCTTGATGAACAAAACAAGAATCATAAGAACCATAAACATTTGTTGGTCACAGAGCTTATTTTCTGCAATATTCCAAAATAAGCTTCTTTTTTTTTTTTTAGGAAACCAGGGTGATGCGAACTTTAAGGTTGGACTACAAAAAATACAGTATGTCATTACTGAAGAACACTATGGAGGATAGTCTGTGATACACATGCTACAGTTTGTATCAAAACTGAAGTATGCTTTGGCCCTGCTAAGATGTTCTGAGAGGTTTTTAATTTGTTATGTGCTTACTATATTCATTTTTTCTTGAGTCTGATATCTTTTTTGTAAGTCTATGGGCCTTTTTTACTTGTTTTGTTGTTGTTTACCAGGCGATAAGTGGTTTGTCATTGTGACACTCATTCATTCAGAAACAATGATCATTTCTCCATTATTTATTTATTAATTTATTCTTTTTAGATAAGTAAATAAATGTATCGATACAAAAGATCTAAATTCAAACTTACATGTCATGATCATGTGCTATACCAATAAGCCATGGCACTAATAGACTATACCTATTTTAAAAAGTTTGTTTTATTAGAGAATTATTAAGAATAGAAACATTGACATGAATCAAATCCTTCTAATATAGTAATAGTTCATAATATATATATATATAAATATATATATAT